CTTTTGCATTTTAGTCATAATTTATTATTAATACATCTTGATTGTATGTTTGATCAATTTCAGATTGCAAAAGTTGGTAAAAATCTTCAGTTTTCTCATCTTTAGCTTTAGTGGTTGGCTTATACATTTGTATAATAGTTGGATTAACAGATCTTCCCTGTATGCGTGTGGACTCTATCCTATCACTCACAGCACTGTACTTCAGGATGAAACTTGAAATATTATATAGAACATGGTCACCACGAGTTGCAGGCAACTCTATGACTCCCAACACTGTACTTCAGGATGAAACTTGAAATATTTTTTTAACTATGTACACAATGCCATTCTGCTTCAGTAGGCCATTCCCAGCAAAATAGATTACATGGTTCTTTGTCTCAAAGTGGCCAATACCAGTCCATTCAGTTAACTAATGCCTAGGATGTTGATTTTAATGCATCCCATTTCTTTTCTTTTTTTCCAAGTTCTAGTTTTCTTAGATTTATATATTGTACACATTGTGTTTCAATTATTAACAGATATTTGCAGCTCTTCATGTTTTTGAAAAGAGGAGGAGTTATACTGACACAAAAGGCACAGAGAGAGACAAGCTAACCCTCTGTGCTTCCTGCTAAAAGAATCACACCACTGCCCGTACTGTTGCCAAAGAGATAGGCCCTGAATATGATCAAGTCCCTGCATCCACCTACTGATGTGCAAAAGCACAGAAAACTGAGGACATGTCAAGCTACACTGCAAGGACACAATCAACAACATCAGCACTGGGAAAACCACAATTCTTGAGATTTTTCAAGCAGTATATTATAAGGAAAAGAAAAGGAAGGAGTGGAAATCTGTGGATTAAGAGTCTTCAGAAATACTGATTATTTTTAAGACTAACTAGTCCTTGAAAAAAGACATTATGCTTGGAAGGGTCATGGGACAGTGCAAGAGAAGAAGAGCCGAAACAATATGGATTGACATAGTAACTGGAGTAATGGGGGTTGGTGTGTCAGAGACAGTGAGATTAGCTCAGGAAAGAGCACCATTCAGAGAGCTATTGTGCATAGGGCTGCTATGAATCGCAGTCAACTGGATGACACGTAACAACAATAACAACAAGCTGGAGTGTTTAAATATACACTCAGAAATAGCACATAAATTACATAAATTATTCTACACACACACACACGCACAAGTGATTACTATAGAAGTCAGAAAAGTGGTGCATAAAGGGAATTTATAGATTGATTTAGAACTCTCTTCTTCACGACCTGGAGTGGTACAAAGTATTCATCCTCTAAAAAGAATAACAATACTATAATAATTTACATTGCCAGCTCATTGCCATCAAGTGGAACCAATGCATAGCTGACCTCTACCGAGGTTTCTGAGGCTACAGAGTAAATTATGAGGAAGGATATTGCCTCTCTTTGTCACACTGAGTTGCTGGTGGATTTGAACTGTCATAGAGATGCCATCTTTGGATTGCCAGCACAATTGCCTGTGGACTATGCCCCCAGAGTTCACATGTTTATACTATCACTTACTCATTGCTGTAAAATCAAAACTGACTCATAGCTGACCCTCCAGGCAGTTTTCAGAAGTTGTAATTGCATGGGAAGAGCTTGCCCATATTTCTCACTCAGAGCAGCTGGTGTACTCAAACCACCTGCTATTTAATCAGCAGCTCAACTCCTTATCCACTAGGCCACTGAGCTCCCTATATATATAATATAATAACTAATTTTGTTGTTGTTGTTGATTGCCATCGAGTCAAGCACGACTCAGCAATTCTGTGAACAAAAGACTTAATGCCTTTCTATAAGTTTCTCCAGGATCATAGACTTTTCATAGGCATGTGGTTTAGGAAGTAGATGCCATTCCCACTACCAAACCTGTCCTGCAACTGGGAGCTCCACTAAATACATGTTGTTGTTGTTGTTGTTGTTGTTGTTGTTGTTATGTGCCATTGAGTTGCCTATGACTCATAGCAATCCTATGTACAACAGACCTAAACCCTGCTTTATTATGAGCCAAACTTATTGTCTCCAACACACCTATTCTCCTTACCCCAGTCACTGAATCAATCCACCTCATAGAGGGTCTTCCTCTCCTGCACTGTCCCTCCACCCTCCCAAGCATGATGTCCCTCTCCAAGGATTGGTCCCTCCTTGTAACATGTCCAAATTATGTCAGACAAAGTTTAATAATCCTTGCCTCCAAGGAGCAGCCTAGTTTAACCCTGTCTAAGATGAACCTGTTCATTTTCTTAGCAGCCCCTGGTATATTCAATACTCTTTCCAACACCACAGCTCAAAGGCATCAATTCTCCTTCTATCCTCCCTAGTCATTGTCCAGCTCTCTGACACATAGCAAGTGATTGCAAAGACCATGGCCTGTATCAGGTCTCCTTAGTCTCCAGAGTGACATCATTGCTCTTCAGTGCTTTGGAGAGGTCCCTAACAGCAGACTTTCCCATCTCAATATGTCTTAATTTCCTGGATGCTGGTGCCAAGAGTGTTGACTATGGAGCCACGCAAACTAAAGCTGTTAACAATTTCATTCTCTTCACCATCTATCATGATGTTGCCAATAGGCCCAGTGGTGAAAATCTTCATTTCCCTTGACATTGAGCCTCAATCCATATTGAAGGCTGCAATCCTTAACCCTCTGCAGCAAGCACTTGAGGTCCTCCTTAATTTCAGCAAGCAGGGCTGTGTCATGTGCATAATGCAGATTGTTGATCTTCCTTTGATCCTGATGCTGCATGTCTCCTCATAGAGCCCAGCCTCCCGGATAATCTGTTCTGCATACAGTTGAAAAGGTATGGAGATAGAACACATCCCTGACATACACCCTTCCCAATTTTGAACCATGCAGTGTTTCCTTGCTCTGTTCTGATGACTGCCTCTTGGTCAAGTATAGGTAATAACTAATAATAATACTATATTTTTCCCTGTGGCTCTTAATGTCTGGGCTTCATTTTAAAACTTTTTTAAAAGTTTAAATCCTTCTGTAAGAATAAACTATCAAGCAAATCTAATCAACCTTCCAAATTATCTTTTTTCACTGAATCCATATATTAGTCAATTGTTTAGACAAAGTACCTGGTTATTTTAGGAATGTGTTTCCAAGAGGCATCACAAGTAATCAATCAAGTATTTAATGAGGACCCACTTTGTGAAATACTCTTGCTCCGTTTGAATTGGTTTATATTTTCAGATCATTGTGCAATTCCTTGAATTCATCAACAACATGCATTGGAATTACTCACTGTGGGTTTGAGCATTTATGCTCCTATGGATATTTTATTTATAAAAGCTAGTTTTTTGGTTGATTAAATGACTGCATTTTGGAGTAAAGATGTTCATGAGACATATCTATCTCTTCAGCACAAACCGAGTGGTCTTTTGTCCTCATCTTAGTCACTGTGGTCACTAAAGCCACAGTCCAAGGGCCCAGAGTGCAGCTTCCTGTGCGTGCCAGCAGCCAGAGGACTGCTGTGTGAGAATCTGGGCTCCACCATGGTGACTCCTCATCCCAACGCCACAACCACAACACCACACCCTCTGAACATTCAGTTCCTAGAAATGACAGCCTCAAACATATTTATAATGGATAGCATTTCCCAGAAAAAGAAGAATGTTTGAGAATTTTTGCCAACCCAAGATCACAGATATCCGGAAGCAACTTACTGCTTCCCACCAGGAACAAACCTAATTTCTAAATCTGAAATGAAGCAGGCACATTAATTTCCATGGTTTGCTTTTTGAGGGAAATAAAACATAAGGTTTGTATGATCGTTCAGGGGCCAAGAAGCTTCTATCTCAATCAAGGTGGACTTATTTAGACATGTGTACGTGGTCTAAGCAGAAATCATAATAATGTAAATATTAAAGATGGTACCTAGCCTTGACCATGTGGCAGATGCTTTCATAGGCAGAGTTTGTGTAGTCATTGATGCCATTTTAACAGTAACTCCATATGGAAATGGTACTCTGAGTTTGCTATTTTGCAGGTAGTAGAGCAGAGGCACAATAAGATGAACTTGCCCAAGGTCACAATACTAGTACATTGCACTTCTAGGACTCAAACCAGGTGGCCTCACTCCAAAACCTGCATCATTAACCACTATGACAAACTCTGACAAGTCCTTAACATCAGTACAAGCCAGCAAATGTGAGGGTAAGTGAGATAAAAACGTCTATTTGAACATTTTCTCTCTTGTCAAATTTGCGTTTTAGATGGCCCACAAATTGGCATAGCACACAGGCAATCAATCATCAAATACAGAAACCATTCTTCCTCTTTAATGGCTCTTGAAACTGGAGGTGTCTCTCCATTCCATTTGCGACCGCTTGATTCAAGCCACCATCACTTCTCCTCTAGATAATTACAGTAGCCTTCTACCTGATTGTCTGAAGATGGAGGTGAGAGGCCAAAAGAGAAATATAGAAAAGGTGGCAAGTTGGCCAAGTAACACACACATGCATATACACACACATATGCAAACCCAGTGTCATCAAGTTGATTCCACCCTAAGGTGACACCATGTGTTGCAAAGGCAACTGCGCTCCATGCAGTTTTCCAAGACTATGACCTTTATAAACACATCGCCAGGCTCTTCTTCTGAGTTGCCTCTGGATGGGTTCGAACTGTCATCCTTTCGATTAATAATTGGATGCTTTAATCTGCCCAGTCCCAACAATTTCTAGGAGCAAGGGCTCAAAAGAGAGAAAGATGGAAGCAGCTGTAATTCTTACAGATCTAAAGAAAGTCAAGAGCAAGGTCAGTATGAAGACAGTGACAGCACTCATTTTGCTGGTGTGCAAGTCTGGGAGATCATAGGAACAGTTAACAATGAAGATTGTCAGCTCTCCTCCCTGCCCCTCCCAGCCTCTCAGAGCTTGGGTCTCCTGATCAGAAAAGCTTGACTGACTCCAGTCGCCCTCCCTCCCATGCTGGCCTTGCTAAGATGTGCCCTGGGCAGGGAACTAGGCAGGAAGGAGCCTCCTCACATGATCTGGCTTAATCCTCCTCTGCTCCATTCCTTAAATGCACACTGGTGCAAGAGCACAGGCAAAATGCAGACAACCGGGGGCCTGAGGTGGGCAAAGAGGGCCCTGCTGCTCTCCACCCTCTGGGCCACCGCACAGCTGCCTGCCCCCGGTGCCTCCCTGCCCCGGAGACTCCCAAGGGCCACAGGTACGTGGATACTGGGTGCTGCTTGTGCTGTACCTGCTACCACACAGGACTGAAGAACAAAGAGAGGGAAATTCTCACTAGAGGCTTTTCCTTATGCTTTCTGCTGTCTTTGCTCTGCTTTGTGTTTTCAGCTTTTGGAAGGGTATCAAACTCTTTTGATCTCTCAAACAGATTCTCAAAGATAGCTCCAAAGTAATGCATAGAGATCACGAAGCAGGGGAGTGTCCCATTTTTATTGCCGGAGATTTCATCAAGGGAAAAACAAAACATCCTTTTCTATCCTAGGAATTTTATTTGCAACACTGATTCTTTGCGGGCTTGTGGGCACGTCGGGTTCTGAAACGGAAAGATGAAATAGTACAGACATTAGAAAATTTGATTCCTCGGATATATAGTTTCTACTTGGGGTGAGGAAAGGGCTTAGAATAACCTTTTCTAAGTGAAACAGTCAAGGAAAGAAAAAGTTTCCTTTGAGCTAATTCTCACTTATAGTGACCTCCTGTGCTCCAGAGGAGAGCCGCTCACCATAATATTGTCAAAGTTCTGGCCCTTTGGAGGGAGTTCTGGTGGCACAGTCTGTATAAAGCGCTTCTAACCCAAAGGCCAAAGCTCCCTGGCGATTCGAATCCACCAGAGCCTCCTCAAGAGAAAAATAGCAATCTCCCCGTGTGGTTTAGTCTCAGAAGCCCAATGGATGATCAGCCTACAAGGTTTTGTTCCAACTTGATAGCAATGAGTGAGTGAGGGCCATTCAGAAGCAGATTTTGGAGTCTTTGTTCTAATATGCCTCTGGGTGGATTAGAAGGCCAACTTTTTGATTAGTGGTTGAGTACTTAACTGTTATGTCATCCAGGAACCCCAAAACAGGCAAGAAGGAGTGATTACATGCTTCCCTCTTTTTCAGTCTCTCCTTCAGCATCACTGTGTTGTTAAAGCACAGATGTCCTGTCCTAGAGACATTTTTAAGGCTGTCCAACAATATCCTGTTTGGATATGACTGTGTCTTTACAGTCTCTCTGGGGTTCTTACACTCCCACCTTGCATGTTTCTAAGAAATCTTTCTTTGTGGGCTTAGAGTGTGTGACACCAGCATCCTTCAAACTTCACCTCATTTTCCTTCCCAGAAAATGCCTCCGAGTGTGTTCTTTCTCCATCCTCGGAGTTTCCTGAAGGGTTTTTCACAAAACAGGAACAGGCAGAGGGAGGCATCATCATCTACTTCCTGATTATCCTCTATATGTTCATGGCTGTGTCGATTGTCTGTGATGAGTACTTCCTGCCGTCCCTGGAAATCATCAGTGAAGGTAAGTAACTCTATGCTCGCCACAAGAGTTGTATCACATAGTGGGGCTTTCTTTGAAACAGCTCAGCAAGGACTCTACCAATCTTAGGTGGTTTGAGAGCAATGCCTATGACATTATAGGGTCCTGTCCAGAGTGTGGTTTCTCTTGGTGGTCAAAACAGATAATTTTGTATGTACAGGTTGCCAATGTTATTACACTGTCTATCACAGGAAACTTCCCCATTTTCTACTATACCTTCTGTTAATTATAAGAACTACTCATGATTTCACATATACATATTTGATGTGTTCCTACCATAAAAAGAGTTGTAGTACTTAACATTCTACACTTGAAAAAAATTACATTTTTACTCTACAATCATTGTCATTTTTTTAAAGGTAATAAATGTGATTGAAGGCCATTTCCTGCCTATTCCTTTCCTGGGATGTGCCGAGAAATGGTTTGAATGAAACAAATTAATGTTTCATTAGAGCATTGACATAAAGTGATGTTAATTTAAAAAAAAATATTTGTTGATGAGGATATCAGGAGCTGTCAATGTCAATTCAGTTTCACCTCGTCATGATCTTATGTGTAATAGAAACATTGCCTGGTCCAGTGTCAACCTCACAATCCTTAAGTTTGAGTTCATTGTTGCTACTATGTCAATACATCTCGTTAAGGATCTTCCTCTGTTCTTACTAACTCTCTGCTTTACCAAGCATGCTGACTTCTCCAAGGTCTGGTTCCTTCTGATAACATGTCCAAAGTAAGTTATACCAAATCTCACCATCTTCACTTCCAAGGAGCATTATGACTGTACTTCTTCCAGGACTGCCCAATGCAATACCCTGTTTGGTTTCTGAACTGCTGATTCCATGAGCACCAATTGTGTAAAAGACTTGATCCATTTCTGAAAGAAAATTGGCCAATGAAAAGTTTATGAATAGCAGTGGAACCAAACATTTAGAATAAATAAGTCTTTTATCCTACACAAATAGCCTCAGATAATGAATATCTGTAAACTTGTTTATTAAAAGTTAAGCTTAATATAAAATGCACTGTGCTTCATTGACTATCAAAGGCTTTTGACTGTGTGGATCACGACAAGCTGTGGCTAACTCTGAGAAGAATGGGAATCCCAAAACATTTGATTGTGCCTATGAGAAGCCTATACTTGAACCAAGAGGCAGTTGTCAGAACAGAGCAAAGAAACACTGCCTCGTTCAAATTGGAAAGGGCTTCCACCAGGGATATATTCTGTCTCCATACCTTTTCAATCTATATGAAGAACAGATCATCGGGAATGCTGGGCTGTACGAGGAGGAATGTGGCATCAGGATTGGTGGAAGATTCATCTACAACCTGTGCTATGCCGATGACATAACCTGCTTCCTAAAACTGAGGAGGACCTGAAGCACTTGCTGCAGAAAGTCAAGGAATGCGGCCTTCAATATGGATTGAAGCTCAACACAAGAAAACAAAGATTCTCACCACTGGGCCAATTGGCAACATCAGTATGGATGATAAAGAGATTGAGACAGTTAACAGATTTAGTTTGCTTGGCTCTGCCGTCAACATTCTTGGTACCAGCAGCCAGAAAATCAAGAGATTAACTGCACTGGGAAATTCAGCTTGTCAGGGACCTCTCCAGAGTACTGAAAAGCAATGATGTCAGGCTGGAGACTAAGGTCTGCTTGATCCGGGCTATATAGTCTTTGCAATTGCATGCTATGCATTGGAGAGCTGGACAGTGACTAGGGATGATAGAAAGAGAATTGATGCCTTTGAACTGTGGTGCTGGAGAAGAATGTTGAATATACCATGGACTGCTAGGAGAACAAACAAGTTTGTCCTGGAAAAGGTGAAATCGGGCTGCTCCTTGGAGGCAAGGATTCTGAAACTTCCTCTGACATACTTTGGGCATGTTGCAAGGAGGGACCGGTCATTGGAAAGGGACATCATGTTTGGGAGAGTGGAGGGACAGCACAGGAGAGGAAGACCCTCAATGAGATGTATCAATTCAGTGATTGAGGTAGTGGTAGTAGGTGTGTTAGAGACAATGAGGTTGGCACAGGATAGAGCAGGTTTAGGGCTCTTGTACATAAAATCGCTAATAGTTACAAGCACTTTGCTGGCACGTAACAACAACAACATGAATGGTTGTATTAAAACAAATTTGTTCTATAAATTTTCACTCAAGTCACAGTAAAAAGACCTCAGCTTCAAAAAAAATTTTTAATTTGGTTAGTTACTGATTTCTGAAAACAAGATCAGTTATCCAAACCCTTCAGCTATGCTGCTTCAGCCAAGAACACCGCCCAGGATACTGAGTATTGACTTTTCTGGTGAACTAGTCCCAGGAATCAGAGATTAGTGATATAGTGATATTTCATAGCAAATGTGCTGGCAGTCTCTATCCCCTCCTTGCTTGGTGAGTTTAATCGGTTGAGCATGTTCATTTCAAAACAAGTAATTGGTTAGAGATAGGTATCCTTTGCATACTCAGAAGACTCTACAGAGACACTACCCCTCTCCCTCAGTATGTAAGCTCACACAGAGCACACACTAGCACATCTTCACAAGAAATCAACATAAATGTAAACTCTCTCTTTTCCCCTTGTCCCCTTCCCCACCCTTACTGAAATGCAAATCAAATAGTCTCTCTGTAGGGTAGCAATATCTTCAGAATCTAAAAGAATACCTGGCTACATAGAAGGAGGCACACAACACATATTTGATTAGTCAAAACTAATTACAGCACACATTTATTACCATTACTATTCCTTAAGTAAATATAAATCTTTACCTTCTGAACATTGCTTTTAACATTTACACTAACATTACCATTTTTCTGCAACTTAACATTTTGACTTAGATTAGGTAAATAGTGTTGAAATAGTTTCACATAGACATTACGAAAACCCTATTAAATAGAGATTACTAAATTTGTTACACTGAGAAGGATGTCTTAGAGGATCGGTAACTTCTCAAGATAGTCAGCACATGGCAGAGCCCAGTCTTTTTCACGCCAACCTACAAGCATGTTCGTAATTGCTATGTATAAAATGAACTATATAATTTAACATGTTCTTGTTTGGTATTAGTGCCAACACTATGGCAGGGAGGGGTTTGAACATTCTATTTTACAATCTTAAATGAAATTCTACTCCCAAAGGCACTCAAAACTTTGACAAAGAAAATATCCATTATAACTATGTAGGATGTATACCTAAAAATAAAGAGATCTTGCTAAGTTACTGGGGAAATGTGTTGGCCTAGTGAGTTAAGGAAGTAGGCTGCTGGCGCAAAGGCATGCATCTGAATTCGCCAGCTGCTCCACAGAAGGAACATGGGCAATCTCCTCTCCTGCACCTTACGGCCTCTGAAAACACACTGGATGATTAATAACAGCAAGTTACTCAGAGAAGAATCTGTGTAGACTGTTGCCAAGCTACATGAGGTTGGAAATTCATTTTGTTAACATTCACTCTCAGTAGAGTCCCACATCTAAACAGATGATCTAAGACGTATATTACAGTCATGGTTTAGCACTATGAAATCCAAACCCCAGTATTGTGGTACAATTGGCATGCCTATTTGCTAAACAAAATGAAACCAGTTTGCACAGTGGTTAAGTGCTCCACTACTAACCAAAAGATTCATTGTGTGAACCTACTAGTGGTTCAGAGAAGCTCTGGTGGCTTAGTGGTAAGGAGTTGCACTGCGAACTCAAAGACAGGCAGTTTGAATCCACAAGAGAAAGAGAGCAATCTCTAATCATGTGTGACTTACGGCCTCTGGAAATCCACTAGTGGTCAGCTATAGTTGGTTCCGATTTGACAGCACATAAGAACAGAGGCTCTGAGAGGAGAGAGACCTGGTGATCCACACTTATAAAGAGTTGTTGTTGTTTGTTGTTGTTGTTGTTGCTGTTGTTATGTGCCATCAAGTCACTTACATCTCATAGCAACCCTATGTACAACAGTTCTCAACCCTGCTCTATCATGAGCCAGTCTTATTGTCTCTGATACCTACCCCCATTACCCCAGTGACTGAATCAATTCATCTCATCGAGGGTCTTACTCTCTTGCACTGTCCTTCCACCCTCCCAAGCATGATGTCCCTCTCCAAGGGACTGGTCCCTCCTTGCAACATGCCCAAAGTATATCAGATGACACTTCAGAAACCTTGCCTCCAAGGAGCAGGTTGATTTCACCCTCTCAAGGATGAACCTGTTTGTTCTCCTAGCAGTTGATGGTATATTCAACACTCTTCTCCAGTACCATAGCTCAATGGCATCAATTTTCCTTCTATCATCCTTAGTCATTGTCCAGTTTTCTGATACATAGGAAGTAATTATGAAGACCATGGCCTCAATTATATGCACCTTAGTCTCCAGACTGACATCATTGCTCCTAAATATTCTAGAGAGGTCCCTGACAGCAGGCTTTCCTAATACAATTTCTCTTTTTCTTCCTTGGCTGCTGGTACCAAGAAGGTTGCTCGTGGAGCCAAGCAAACTGAAGCTGTGAACAATATCAACCCCTTTACCAACTATAATGATGCTGCTATTGGTCCAGTTGTGAGAATCTTTGTTTCCTTGATGTTGAGCTTCAATCTATGTTGAATACTGCAGTCCTTGACCTTCTGCAGCAAATGCCTCAGGCCCTTCTTGGTTTGCGCAAGCAAGGTTGTGTCATCTGCATAATGCAGGTTCTTGATGAGTCTTCCTCCAATCTTGATGCCACATTCTTCTTTATAAAGCCCAGCCTTCCCGATAATCTGTTCTGCTTATAGATTGAAAAGCTATAGAGACAGAATGCATCCCTGGCATACACTCTTTCTGATTTTGAACCATGCAGGGTTTCCTTACTCTCTGCTCTAACAAATGCCTCCTGGTCCAACTATATGTTTCACACAAATACAATCAAGTGTTCTGGGATTCACACTCTTCTCAAAGTCAGCCACAACTTGTTGTGATCCACACAGTCAAATGCCTTTGCATAGTCAGTGAAACA